CCCCAAAACCCCAAAACCCCAAAACCCCAAAACCCCAAGGCCGTTCCACAACATTGAATCCCCCAAAATCCCCTAAATTTCTTCCACCCAATTTTCACCTAAACCCAAATTTTCTTCCCTTTTCTCATTTAAAACTAATCTTTAAGGGCTTTATAATAGCGCTTATTTTTAAAGTGAATTTGTTCGATTTCTTTGAGAGCGCAGTAGAGTTTTTCGAAGTCTTGGTGCATTGTGCCGTTTGAATTGGTAGTTGGTAGAGGCTGAATGGGGAGATTTGACTCTTTTTGATCGATTCCTAGAGTGTTTTGGAACATCTTTTCGAGGTCAGCTTCGATCATTTTAGTGAGTGTCTTGATGATCTTGAGAGTTTTGTCAATCAAAGATCTGATTATTTTGTTGTGCATCAGAACTGTTTTAAACTCGTCTTTGGATAGTTCTACAACACTTTCTCCCTTCTTAGTAGGATGGTTATGATAGATATCGTTGATGCAATCTATGAGTAAATTAGTAGCATACCTTTTAGCAAATTCCTATCCTTGTAATCATTGACATTTAATCTTAAGAGTGTGTAAAATTCCTTATTTATCTATTGTTCCTGAATCATCCTCGTCACAAAGTTCGAAATATCTGTCAAACATGTCATTAAATTCTTTGGTGATTTTGTCCTGGCTTGGGCCCTTTTGGAGTAGAATATCTATGTTCTTACCAAACCCAGAGGTATAGGTTGTGGTCTTCCTCAAAAATTTTAGTCTTTTCTTCTTATTTAGACTTCTTTCTCCCACTTTGAAGTAGGTCTCACTTCTTGATTAGGCAGAACTGGAAAATTCTTTGGAAAAGTTCATAGTAATTTACTCTTCCTTTACCACTGAAGCAGAAGAGAGTGAAGAACTTTTTTGAGAAGTTATTTATCATCGTTTAGTCTTAACTTATCCAACAAAGCGTAGAATTGCTCTTCATTGAGATAATGCTGCTCATCTTGTTCTTGTGAGTCAAGAGAGATCTCTCCAGACACATCAGACTTTGACTCATCTACTTTTCCCTTGGAATCTTTGTTAATCATTTCTTTGATGAAACCTAGCACACCTTTGATATCTTTTATAAGAAGTTCCTCAATTTGCAGGCTCTTCTTATCAATCAAGTAGAGGAGGGTCTTCCAAATCATTTTGTAGAGACCTACAATATTAGAAGGGATATGTACTATCTTGGCTCAAATTTGATCTATCCATTTTGTACTCTTTTTGATAATTCTGTAAATTCACTAAAAATTTTGGACTTCTCTTACGTGGATCAGCGCTAAAATTAGATATAACACCTACCTATGGATCCTACGATTTTTATGCATCAGTACACGGAGTTTATGCAGGTTTTGTTTTCTTTCCTTGATAGATTTCACCCCATAGGAATTTCTGTATTGGCGAAGCCTGTCCTCTGTCTGTGGGTCAAGGTTCATGCTGTTATCTAAATCCAAGATTTAACACACCCTATCATAATCTTAAAATAACATACTTGTTAGGAAACTCATAGCACCTCCTTTAAAGATCTTGACTCGCTCTCTCTTAAGGTTAAGAGAAGAGCTAACTGCTGGGATATTTCTACGGGTGGCTCCCCTACAAATATAATTGCGCTCTTACCTTACAATCTTCTTCTTCATCCTATATATCTTCTCCTTAGGTTTCTTCTTCTGAGGGGTGAGCTTAACGCTCTTCAGGGCTGGCTTTAGGGCCAAAATTGAGTGCCTTTTACTAACCTGGGAGCTTCCTGGTTTAGATTCATGATCTTCAGTGATGCTCTTGGCTGACTTTATGTCAAATCTGGAGTAAAACTCCCCATCTTCTTCTTGTGGGCCTTTAGACTCCTGGATAGTCTACAGATAATTAATGCTGGCTTCACTTACGTTGAAAGCTGAGCTTGGCCTCAAAATTTTCCGCGGATAGGTTATTGAGGAGGTGCTGATTTCAGTAGAGTTTTTATCAAGATTGATAGTCACCCTATTTACGCTCCTTCGTTAGCTTCTTGGTGAATCTACATTTTGGTTAAGCTTCAGTGGTAAAGAGTAGTGGATTTTAAGGAATTTTTGGAAGTCTGAAAAAAAGCTTAAGGGTAATAAGAGAGACAGCCATCTGATTAGGCCAATTATTAGTATTGAAAGTAACACTTTTGGAGTAGTATCTTAATTGCTTGGTTTTAAAGAAATTTGGGAGATTAGATATCACATTTATAGTAGAAAGTTCTAGAGATTTTTTATGATGATGAAGGTGAATAATCCAAATAAGACTGAATTTTAAGAAATAGAGGGAATTTGTTAATTGTGGAATCTCTATTTCTATGATTAAATCAAACATATAGCAAAAATTGTCTAGATAGTCATGGTTTCATTTTCGAATCAAAATCTCAACTTCGAATAAAATGAAGCTATTTATTAAAAAAATTGGATTAAAAAAACTTCACTAGAAAAAAATTCTTCCAGAGATCTGAAGCAACTGTGATCTTCTCAGATATCTTACACATTCAGCTGAAGCAAAGTTGCGAATGACGACTAAAAACATATCAAAATTCTCATACAAAACAATAACTTTCCCCCAAATTCATCACTCAAAAGGCTCTAAATCCCCTATCCCTTGCAATCCCAGCCCCTAACTCAACTACACCCCTATCAAACAATCCCTGACCACTCCTAGATCCCCTATCCCTCAAAATCCCTTAAAAACCTGTCTAATCCCCATACAGACCCCTCAGTTTCTAAATTTCTCTCCTATAAAATCCCTTAAAATTGCTTCCTCACTCGCTTGGCTAGTCGCTTGCTCGCTCAGAGTTCTCTCTAGCTGCGAAGAAGCCTGGTTGGCCAGGGCTGGGAAGCCCTGGCTGGTCCAGAAGGTTTGGGGGGTTTGGGGAAGTACTTACCCTGGCTTATAGATATTGCTGGTTTGGGGCCTTTTAGGCTTTTTAGAGATGTAAGCTATGGGGTTAGGAAGAGGATACTTGTATTGGAAGTGGAGGCTTTTGGATTTTGGAAATTTGAATTGAATGAAGTGGATTTGAAGGGGTTGATTTGGGTTGAGTTTTGGGTATAAAAAGTACTTCCAGGTTTGAAGGAGTCCATTTCTAAATGGTAATGAGATTTTTAAATGGTGAGGTACTTGGCTGTTTTAATCACCCTTTTGAAAAATGATATATTTATTTTTAATAAAACAATTTAAAAGAAGTATAAAGGGGTTTTGGGGTTTTGGGGTTTTGGGGTTTTGGGG